GGGCCCTTCCAAGCGTGCGCTCGAGAAAGCCGCAAAGAAAGCCGCAGCAAAAGCCAAAAAGGCAGAGCATGCTCTCCGTCCCAAGGAGCAAGCGAAGCCTACCACAAAGAGCGAGCCGACGAGCATCTTCTCTGAAGGCTGGCTGAAGCGCATCTACGAAGAGAAGCCCGTCCAAGACGTCCAGACCCGATTCCCGCCCGAGCCCAATGGCTACCTCCATATCGGACACGCCAAGGCTATCGCCGTCGACTTCGGTTTTGCGAAGCACCACAAGGGCAAGTGCAACCTACGTTATGACGATACCAACCCGGAGAAGGAGGACGAGGTCTACTTCACTGCCATTCTGGATATTGTCAAATGGCTAGGCTTCGAGCCCTCCAAGATCACATACAGCAGCGACAACTTCGACAAGCTATACGAGCTTGCAGAGCAACTCATCAACAAGGACTGTGCCTATGTGTGCCACTGCTCACGTAAGTCTACATATGTTTGACTGCTCCTACAGGGTTAACAATCAAACAGGCGAGGAGATCAACAACCAACGTGGAGGACCCGACAATCGAGGCAAGCGCTATGGCTGCGCCCACCGCGACCGACCGATCGAAGAGTCTATTACCGAGTTCCGGGCCATGCGCGATGGCAAATACCAAGCCGGGGAGGCTTTCTTGCGTATGAAGCAGAAGCTCACAGACCCCGACGAGGGCAACCCCCAGATGTGGGACCTGCCCGCGTACCGCGTTGTTAAAGAGAACCATCATCACCGAACTGGCGACAAATGGAGAATCTACCCTACCTATGACTTTACACACTGTATCTGCGATGCGCTGGAGGGTGTTACTCACTCGTTGTGTACTGTTGAGTTCCGTCAATCGCGTGTCTCTTACGACTGGCTGCTGGAGAAGTTGGACATGAAAGTGCCCAAGTCGGACGAGAAGGGTCCTATGCAAAGAGAGTACGTAACAGCTCCTGTTTGAAAGTCATTTCCAACTAACGTGCGCAGGTTCGGACGCCTCAGTGTTGGCGGCACCATCCTCTCGAAGCGACGCATCCTCCAACTCGTCGAAGGCACAACTGTCGAAAAGAAAAACGCGGATGGCACAGTGGAGACGCGCAAGATACCAGGGGTGGTACGAGGATGGGACGACCCCCGCTTGTTCACCATGGTCGCTTTACGCCGTCGCGGTATTCCAGCCAAGGCCATGCTCAGCTTCGTCGACGAGCTCGGCGTCACAGATGCACTCTCCGAGGTCGAGCCTGCACGTTTCGAAGCCTCCATTCGAAAACACCTCGAGCGAACTGTGCCGCGCCAGATGATGGTGCTAGACCCCATTAAAGTAGTCATTGAAGACTTTGCAACTGAAGATGAGCAAGAGATGACCGTGCCGTACGATCCTAAGGGTGCTATACCCGGTGAGCGAAAGGTCAAGATTGGTAGCGCGGTTTACATAGATCGCAGCGACTTCAGAGAGGAGGACAGCGCCGATTACTTCCGTCTGGCACCCAACAAGGCTGTTGGTCTATACAACGTCCCGTTCGCGATCCGTGCGACATCGTTCTCCAAGGATGATAACGGTAACGTCACCGAGATCAAGGCTACCAAGGTGCCCGGCAATGAGAAGCCCAAAGCCTACATTCAGTGGGTCGATGTTGCGACAGCCGTTCCGGTCACAGCGCGTCTGTACAGCTCCCTCTTCAAGACCGAATCACCTAACACACTGGACTGGAAGACAGGTGGCTGGGCTGACGATCTGAACCCCAACTCTGAGATCATCCATGACAAGGCTGTCATCGAGCGGGGAATCAAGGACCTCATTAGCCAGACCTCCCTGGATCTGAGCGGTTCGTCAGATGCCCTTGTGCGCTTCCAGGCGCTGCGCACGGCTTACTTCTGTGTCGATATTGATTCCACAGAGGACAAAATTGTGCTGAACCAGATCGTCAGTCTGAGGGAAGACAAGGGAAAATAGATGCATAAAAGGCTTTGGCGTCGGCTTTGGCGTTGAAGGTGTGACGATAAGGTCGGGGTTGTAGAGGCGTTGGTCCGCAAAGTGTTCAACGTACAGTAGAGATATCCCCGAAATCTAAAGTTGAATCACACGAGTTCCTGATTTACGTGATAGAGAGTCTGACATGACGTTCTTTGTATCCTTGTGGACCTGTAGGTATTCTAGCGCTTACCTACAGGATTTAATCTTATCAATTGTAAACACCAAAGTTGAGCTGTAAGACCAAAGAGCTCAAAGAGCTAGTTCTAAATAGGTAGGGTTCTTCTGCCTCGTATAGCAAGGACCGTGTTTCCAAAGAATTTAACACCCATGTCGACCTTCAGAGGTTCCCGAGCTATAAGAAAAGTATAAAAATAACTACTTCAATTCCCTGTCGAGCATATGTATTGAAATTGGCTCGCAAGACGCGGAGATAGCCAAGCCAACCCCGCAGTATATATACTAGGGAGAGGAATCGCCACCGCCGTCTAAGTACCAACACCCACCTCTTGTACTGGTTGATATACTATTTTGCGCAACGCTACTCGTAGCACTCTCTACGATCTCTATCACTTTTACAATGAGCGCCGTTGGAGAAAGCTAAATGGTAAGCTAGCGATACGCGTTTGGAGAGATCGTCTATGCTCAACATGCAATCACGAGTATGGATATGTTGTTGCCTTTGGGATCGTTGTAGCCTGAGGTCTGTAGAGCAACGGTCATAGGTTTTGTGCTTTGGCGTACCCACATGCAACCACGTCTAAATATCGGTATCATCCGCTCCGAATACTCAACGAAACAGCGGTTCAACGGGCCTTGCCCAGGCTATAGTGGCCTACTCAGCGTTGATACTCCTAAGCGGCTACACGTCAACCATGGAAACACAACCGGGACTGAGATCGCGTGACCCACGACCCTTTTCCCAGTGCCTCCCAACCTTTGCAACCATCAAAAAAGCCAACGACATATCATCAACATCACCTTCAAATCTCATATCTGTCGGGATCTTTGCGTTCCATCTACAAGATTACCATATAAACCCGCCTAAGCCTTCTTGTACATCTTTCTCTTCCGGAGATGTCCGAACTCAGCAACGTCCTACCAGTCGCCGATCAAATTTCCCTGGTCCTGCACACAGCGGTCGACTTTTGTCGTAAAGCGGGCGTTGGTATCGGTATCATCCAACATGCGGCGATAGGCGCAGCTCGGTCCGGCATTCTACCAGTCGAGGAGCAAAAACACGGCATTGAGCGAGGCCAGTACGGAGCCAATAATGTCAAAACGTGCGAAAGAGCTCATATGTACGCGCTCATACTTGCCATGGGACTAGCAAGAAGTACACTCAGACGACGATGTACAACCACGCGCATCAAGGTACAGAGTGTCACGGTGTTCTGCACTTTGCCATCGGTGGTTGCACTGATCAAGTATCACCAAGCTCACGGACCCAAGAGTCTCGAATCTGTGGTGAGCCCAGAGGACCGCTCGATGATCAAAAGAGTCCTGGCGAGTGCAAAAAAACTGTCGCGATACGATGTCCAAGTCTCAGTCTCAGAAGACGGGGAAGAAAGTTTTACTTTGGAGGCAGCAAGAGTGAAGATGATGGCCCACCAAGGAAAGAAGGTGTGCCGTCGCCGTCGTCACGAACGACGAATCATGTCCAAAAATGCCAGGGCGGCAGGCGATAAGGAAGAAGATGGAGGAAACGACGAGGACGGGAACGGAGTGGGCCATGAGGAAGAGATGAGAAAGGATAGCTCGCATTCGAGACCTATGACAGGAAGAGAATCGTCAAGTACATTCAAGATGGATGAGACAGGTGAGCCTGAGTTGAAATGGACTTGAATACATACTCCTCTCTCAAGCGCCGCAGCTCTGGAGCAACCAACTGACACAAAACGAGCAGAATCAGGCAGCCCAATCTCCAGACCTCCAACCCTCCAACCCTTGCCATATACACTGGTGTATAGAAGACGAGCCGAATCGGACCGTGCATAAGACGCGGAGACCAGCAGAATGCATAGAGATGCCCATGAAGCGGTTGTATGAAAACGTGACGATGCTAGTAACAACATAGAATGAAACTCAAAAAATGATATAGAGAACTACCTATTCCAATCCTATTTACTTCTGAAGTTTTGGAAATGAAACCTTGAAGACGCATGTTACCATAGAAACTAGTATGATGGATGGGCATTTGTAGCATGGATATGTGAAGTGGTGGTTGCGAAGTCTCCCCAGGTGTTGCTGCGTGCGCTGTTTTTAGAATACTAGCACTGGGGGCCGTCATCATCATGACACGTTGGAAAACCACTTGCTCAGCTATCGAAAATCACAGTATCTTCACAATGACGGAGTCTGTAGATTTTCAGATCAAGATCGAAGCAGCAATAATTACATGCATCACAAATTTGGCAGGTGAAATTGCTGACACAGCAGCGCTATTGGTCTTGACTCGTGGTAGGGCTGCATGAGCGCGCACCTTCTACCGAGCGGATTACCACATCACGATCTCCCGCGTCCTGCAACCATGGGTATCGTTACCGAAACACGAGTTTCGGCCCCGGCTGTCGTGAATTCAGCCGCATAGCGAAGCTTTGTACGTCGGCACATGCCTGAGGCTAATCCCACACGAGGTGTAGGATGCATGTTGCCGCTGTCCAATGGCCTATTGCCTCGCAAATCAACCCCGCTGCCGTAATCAGCGCTGACCTTATATAATCATTCATAGGAATATCAGGAACTGAAATACTCTCGGGCGAGACAGGTTCCGTACGTAGGCCGCTGCTTCGGCCGACGATGCGACGACTCACAGTTACGTAGGTCGACGTGTGGTAATCAGAGGTGAAAACATTGCATCGCTGATACACGGCAACAGTTATATGTATAGAGCCATAGTCTCTGCAACGAAATCCAAGAGATATTGCTATGCGCATCACCGGAAATACTGAATTTTGATCCCATACTCTGCTTCAGACCACGACTCCACCAAATAGTTGATTACTAAAGTCTAAGATGGCTACTTCTATGGAGCGCAAGTACGAGTTCTTCGTGACGACAGACGAGCCACATCAGCCAGCCGGCATGGAACGAAGCACGATCCGCCGGTTAGTGATGCGGAACTACTTCGATACGAAGATGGCTGGGCCACAGTTCAACGTGCCTGAACATAGTTCGACGAGCACAGTCGTGGCGGAAAAGCAGCTGAAGAGTCGTTTCCGGTTATCTGAACCGGGAAACGAGAAGAAGAAGACTTTGAGCAGGCAAAGAGAATACCTATACAATACCAATAAACGAGGAAAGAAAAGACCACAGGTTCTGAGAACAAGATCTGGTCCTACACCGCTGCCCTCAAAAATCGGTGCCGAAGACAGCGGCATAGATAATTCCAATGAGACGAAACACAGTACCAGTAGAAGAAACACAAGTGAGCCAGCACTCGAAAGACCAGTGCTAAAGGCCGACCTCAATATCTATCATATGGATCCTTTTGGCGCTCTGCCGATGCCAGACACGCCACAGCTAAATGCGCTCTTCCGATTATGTACGTACAAAGTCCATGACAGATACCTAGCCGACAAGGACAAAGCTTCCAGAGAAGGACACATAGGCTAACACTGACTCCAGACAAAGATTCACCCAAGAACAACTCGATCGGCCCTGATGCTACGCACACATGGAAGTCCTTTATCTTGAATGACGCTGGCTTGCTACATGCTACTCTGGCAAGCTGGGCGCTATACGGCATGCTTGTGAATGAGTCTCATGATCTGCGGGTGTGCGAACTCGAGCACAAAAACGAAGCAGTCCGAACCGTGACCTATAAACTTGCGATGTGTCGGGGAAGCGTATCTGACGATATTGTTGGCACGGTCCTGACACTGGCGAATCTCGAGGTAAGCGCCCAACCTGGTAGATGGATTACATGGAAGGATGGATACTGAGTATTTCAGAATCTGACTGGAGCTTACGATGTAGCTCAACTTCACCTCACCGCGTTGAGAGTTATGGTTGAAGAGCGAGGCGGGATACTTGCTTTTGGAAAGCATGATGGCTTGACGCGAGGTATATTATGGTAAGTTCAAACCACATCAAGTTTGACTACTTGCTAATACATGCGGTAGGGTAGATTTTCATGCGGCAGCAGCTTCCCGTACAACCCCGTTCTTTCCGCATGTGCGGCTGGGGCCAGATGCACCTCTTCCAGACAAGCTGCATGACGAGGCAACATACACATCACCAACCTCTCTGCTTCAATTATCTTGTGCTGCTATCGATTGCTTCGATATCTTCTATCGACTACACCGACTCGCGCTTGCAACATCGTCGCACTGGACAGGCCGTGTTGCACGCGTGGCTCTAAGTAATCTTCTCTACACTACTCAGTTCATTCTCCTCTCAGTACCCGATCGCTCGCAGGACTTTCTCAAATTCGACCAGAGCGTGCAGGACAACAACAGTGAATGTAGCGAGTCCCAGAAACATAGAGCAGATGCAGCGAGTGTAGTTGAAGCCCTACTCGCAGCAGCTCTCATCTTCATTTATGCGGTACTGCGAGCGCTACCACTGAACACTAAGATATTTGCTATCCTTCTGCGGCGACTGCGCACCGCTATAGATCGACCAAATACATCAGTGCTAGAAACATGGAAACGCGAGAAGAATCTCAACATGTTGCTTTGGGCTCTGGTCATGGCATGTTCTATTGCAACAGATGCAGAGCGAACGTGGTGGACCACACAACTCTCCGGGGTGTGTAAGGAAATGAATATCGGCAGCAGAGAGCACCTCGAGCACGAAATGCGGCGCGTGGCATGGACGGACTCATTTTTCGATGATAGGATTGATGGCATTTGGGCAGAGGTGACTGGAAGTAGTTAGAGAATACGGACCAATCACGGGCGACGCTAATCCGCATGCAACCCATGTTCGTGAATGTTCCACCACACGTGCATCGGGCGCACTAGCGCCGACGGCGGCGGGCGCGATGGCAAAGGGACTCTGATAATCTTCGAGGACTGACGTTCGTCTGGACACGACAACCACAACCATGGCCCCGCTTGTCGACAACCCCCAGATCAAGCAGGCCAGCCTGCACAACCCGCTGCCGTTGCAGCTGCACACATACATCTGGCCATTTTTAATAATATGGCCGGCCTTCTCCGCCATATACTTTTCGCCGCAGCGCTACGAGCAGTACATTCAGTCGTCGGAATGGACTTTTGTGTGGATTGCCAGCATCACCACCTTCCAGTCGCTGTTCTGGCTCATGACGCACTGGAACGTTAACCTCAAGAGCGCATTCACCACCACCTCGGCCGGCGACGTGCGTTCTGCATCGCTTATCAAAGTCCAGCCGATCAAGAATGCCGGCGCCGCTGAGATTGTGCCATTGGTGCGCGACAACGTTGGTGGAAAGCCGAACCTCTCGTTCCTCTTCCAGAAGCGACGTTTCCTCTACGATGCCGACAAGGGTTCCTTCGCCCCGCTCTCCTATCCCCTCGATGTCGAACCCAAGCCCCAGCTCAAGACGTTCCAGCAGACCCAAGGTCTCACCTCGCCCGCTGAGATTGAGCGCATCGCACAACATTATGGCACAAACGAATTCGATATCCCCGTCCCGACCTTCACCGAGCTGTTCAAGGAACACGCCGTTGCGCCCTTCTTCGTCTTCCAGATCTTCTGCGTCGGACTGTGGATGTTGGATGAATACTGGTACTACTCGCTGTTCACCCTGTTCATGCTGGTCGCTTTCGAGAGCACCGTTGTGTGGCAGAGACAAAGGACCCTGACCGAGTTCCGCGGCATGAGCATCAAGCCATACGAGATCTATGTATACAGGCAAAAGAAGTGGCAGGAGGTTATGAGCGACAAGCTGCTACCCGGCGATGTCGTCAGCGCAGGCAGGACCAAGGAAGATTCGGGTGTAGCATGCGACATGCTCCTACTCGAGGGTTCCGCCATCGTTAACGAGGCTATGCTTTCGGGAGAGAGCACACCGGTGCTCAAGGAATCCGTACAATTGCGACCTGGCGATGCGCGCATCGAGCCTGAGGGTCTGGACAAGAACTCGTTCCTCTGGGGTGGCACCAAGGTCCTCCAGGTTTCGCACGGCAACGATGCTGAGGAAGATGGCAGCGGCGTCAACAGACTTTCGTCTGGAGTCCCACCGCCACCGGACAAGGGTGCTGTTGCTGTTGTCATCAAGACTGGTTTCGAGACCAACCAGGGCAGCCTCGTCAGAACCATGATCTTCGCTACCGAGCGCGTCTCCGCAAACAACGTAGAAGCTCTCTTCTTCATCCTCTTCCTTACCGTCTTTGCCGTCGCCGCCTCGTGGTACGTCTGGAAGGAGGGTGTCAAGCTCGACCGCCAGCGTAACAAGCTGCTCCTCGACTGCGTCCTCATCGTTACCAGCGTCGTCCCTCCCGAGCTCCCCATGGAACTTAGCTTGGCTGTCAACACCTCCCTTGCCGCGCTTAGCAAATACGCCATCTTCTGTACTGAGCCGTTCCGAATTCCTTTCGCTGGACAGGTCGACGTCGCCTGCTTTGATAAGACTGGTACATTGACTGGTGAAGACTTGGTCGTCGACGGTATTGCTGGACTATCACTGGGTCAAGACAATGCTACGGTTGCTGCAGACGGTGCGCATACTGATCTCACAAAGGTCACGGATGTTGGAACTGAGACAACACTGGTGCTTGCCGCCGCTCACTCTCTGGTCAAACTAGACGATGGCGAGACTGTTGGAGAGCCTATGGAGAAAGCTACTCTACAGTCCCTCGGCTGGAAACTCGGAGCCAAAGACACGATCCAAGCTACCATGACTACTGCCAATTCTCAGGCCGAACTCGTACACATCCGTCGCCGCTTCCAATTCTCGTCTGCTCTTAAACGCCAGAGCTCTGTCGCAACTGTCCTGGTTAATAACAACAAGACCGGTCGCAAGGTCAGGAGCACAATCGCTGCGGTCAAGGGTGCGCCCGAGACTATTCGCAAGATGTTGGTCAACACCCCACCGAACTACGAGGAGACATTCAAACACTTTACCCGCAATGGTGGCCGTGTCCTCGCTCTCGCGTACAAGTTTCTATCTGAAGAAGGAGAGTGGGGCCAGAACCGCATCAACGACCTCAAGCGTGAACAAGTCGAGTCTGACTTGCACTTTGCCGGTTTCCTCGTCCTCCAGTGCCCCTTGAAGCCTGACGCTGTCGAGGCTGTACGTTCCCTCAACGAGTCTAGTCATCGTGTTGTCATGATCACTGGTGACAACCCGCTGACTGCTGTCCATGTCGCTAAGCAAGTCGAGATCGTCGACCGCGATTGTTACATTCTTGACGCGCCTGAGAACGACGAAACTGGCGAGAAACTCGTTTGGCGCAGCGTTGACGACAAGATTAGCATTCCTGTTGACCCCTCCCAGCCTCTGGACGCCGAGATCTTGAAGACCAAGGATATCTGTCTTACTGGGTACGCACTTTCGAAGTTCTCTGGTCAACCTGGATGGAAGCAGATTCTGCGATACACTTGGGTCTACGCTCGTGTCTCACCGAAGCAGAAGGAGGAAATTCTTCTTGGCCTTAAGGACTGCGGTTACACTACACTAATGGCTGGTGATGGTACCAACGATGTCGGTGCGCTGAAGCAAGCTCACATCGGTGTCGCCCTACTCAACGGTACCCGTGAGGACCTCGACAAGATTGGCGAGCACTTCCGCAACACTCAGATGAAGAATGTCTACGAGAAGCAGTGTAACTTGATGCAACGCTTCAACCAGCCTCAGCCACCTGTTCCGATCATGATCGCGCATCTATACCCCCCTGGCCCAACCAACCCTCACTACGAAAAGGCAATGGAGAATCAGGCAAAGAAGAAGGGTCTTCTCCCAGGTGCCAATGGTGTCGCTAACGGATCAGCATCTACTGGTACCCTTGTTCAACAACAGCCCGGTCAAGTCCAGCCGCCTCAGGCCGTCGGCAACCTTGCTCAGCAGATGCAGGAGAAGATGATGATGCAAGAGATGGAAGAGATGGCTGGTGAACCACCGACGATCAAACTCGGTGATGCTTCTGTCGCTGCGCCCTTCACCTCTAAGCTTGCGAACGTCGTTGCGATTCCCAACATCATCCGTCAAGGTCGCTGCACACTCGTCGCTACAATCCAGATGTACAAGATTCTCGCTTTGAACTGCTTGATCTCTGCTTACAGTTTGTCTGTTCTCTACCTGGATGGTATCAAGTTCGGCGATGGTCAAGTCACCATTTCCGGTATGATGATGAGCGTATGCTTCCTTTCCATTTCGCGCGCAAAGACCGTTGAGACTCTGTCAAAAGAACGTCCTCAGTCCAACATTTTCAACACGTACATCATCGGTTCCGTACTTGGACAGTTTGCTATCCATATCATCACCCTCATCTATGTCAGCCAATACGTCCAGCGTGTTGAGCCCAAGGACCCCAACCCGGATCTCGAGAAGGACTTCGAGCCATCCCTGCTCAACTCTGCGATCTACCTCCTACAACTCATTCAACAAATCTCGACCTTTGCCATTAACTACCAAGGCCGACCCTTCCGTGAGTCCATCCGCGAGAACAAGGGCATGTACTGGGGACTCGTTTCCGTCTCCGGTGTTGCCTTCTCCTGTGCCACCGAGTTCATTCCCGAACTCAACGAGAAGCTCAAGCTTGTCCCCTTCACCACCGAATTCAAGGTCATGATTACCAGCATCATGGCTTTCGATTTTGTCGCTTGTTACATCATTGAGAAGGGTCTGAAGTTCTTCTTCTCGGACAACAAGCCAAAGGATATTGCAGTCAGGAGACCGGATCAGCTGCAGCAAGAGGAGAAGAGGAAGGCAAGGGCGGAGATTGAGGCGCAGAGGAAGAAGAACGAGGAGGCGGAGATGAAGGCTGCTGCTGCTGGGTTGGTTAAGCGGTAGATGATGTTGTGATTATGTGTTCTGGGATAGATGATGTGCATATAGCATTTCTGGTGGTAGAGTAATTTGGACGACGAATTGATGGTTTCTCTGTTCACTTGCTATTGTGGTTGATCGCGCTGTGATTTCTGTCTGCGAATGTCATGATCATATATGCGGTCAACTTTGAAGCAATCTCATCATGCAGTTGGCGCGCCTTTTGGATCAGGTCTCGCACGAGCTCACGTGCTCACGGTTCTTAGATGTGTATATAAGCCCGTCGCTTGGCTACTTTCTCTTCTCATACCCATTGTCCATTGACGATCTTCCAAAACAAACGGCGCACGAACACATGGCTGCGGTTCTCTTTCCTTCAAAGGTTTTCAAAAACGAATATGTTTGCGCTTCTGCACCTTCACTCGCTATCAGCTTCCAAAAAGAAACAACTCGCACAAATGACATGAGAACCTCGTTCCTAAGACTTCACCCAGCTTAAAAGCCAAGTGACAACCCCCAATGACTGGTGCTTTCGGAGGAGATGCTAGGAGATCGAAAAGACAATCACACATCTCATGTTCGCCGTTTGGAAGACATATTGCTCAAAACAAAACCCATTCGATTAGATTGGATGTCTGCGTCTGCTGGAACTGGGTTGACTCGACAAGGAAGAGAAGTACGACAAGATGTTCCTGGTTTCCAAGATTCATTGTTTGCATCGAAACCGCAAGCATACTTCGGCATGTGAACTCTCGTCTGTTCTGGTATCTCCAAAATTACTGGAGCAAGCAACATGCTGCTGCTTCTCGGTTGGGATCCTCCTGTCCCATGCAAATTTCGGAAAATCTGCCGCGTCACTTCTGTTTTTTATCCCTCTTCGCACATTGGAAACTAAAAACACAATGACGAGTATCCATGGCCGCGGTGAGATGATCGCCTTCTTCAAAATGAGAAATCTGCCATCAATATGGTCGACTTTTCAGCCTTTTCCCACTTCCAACGTCAATCCAAAAGCGAGGGCTCGCGGTTCATGCCCGAGAAGATTGGTAGCTGCTGCTTGTGCCTAAGACTACGCCCAGGTAACTGGACATGGTTGTGCCGCTGGGTCTCCAGCTTCACCTATAAAGCTCTGCACATCAACGCGCGATAACCTATTCTCTGCTTTATCCTCGCTCTTTTCCAAAGAGGTCTTTCTCAAAAAGATATCTTCGCCCTTCGGCGACCATCAGAAGTAGTGACACACTGAAGTAATGTGCGCCCGGTTTCCTCTCTTGAAGGTATTAGACCACAAAGTCCGGGAAAAAAGTGGGCCTGAAATACTGGAATTTCTTCATGCCCCCTTAAAGAGGTCGGCCAAAGATTCCGATGCTGGTGGTTAGGCTGAGACATGCGACAACATGGCAAAGACAAACGTCGTGTATCTAATGGATAAGTAGTAGATTCCAAAAATACAAAAACGATCACAACATGTGTGAGAGAAGAGAACATGCAGTATAGCAGAGTCAAAACCGGGGTGGTAGTCACGAGAAGACTGTGACAAGAGGGAGCATATGGCCGCTGCGACCAGCCAATGTCACTGTCTCGATCGACGACAGTACATGATTTGGTGTGACTGATATGCCGTTACCGAAATCGTTGCAACAGAAGTATCATGTGTTGACTGGCTGCGCTAGAAAGTTTCATTCTTCTTGCGATTTTAGTGTGTGCGTGACGGTGTCTATGCGTTCGCGCCAGAGGAGGCGAAAGGGTATAAATTCCGCTTTCTCTCGCGCTTCCCTATCTCTATCACATTGAAAGCGTCGTTCACTCTTCCCAAAAAAAAAGATACCTGGAATGCCCATGTGTTGGAGGCTGGAGCGCAGTCCCTTTACTATAATCTACGTGGCCTTCTGCCATATGTATGTTTGGTGATTTATTCAACGATATGGCCAACATTCGATCTTTCACAATACGTCCTAGCAACGTGAATGACATGGCTCTATTGAATCATCGCCTTTGGAGTCAATGATGCAAGGCAATATCCTGTATACAAAACCAGCCCCGTTCTACTTTATGTTCCAGAGTCAAAGTACACAGCTCGCAAGACAACTACAAGCCTCGGCCGTGCCGACTAGAAGAAAAAGGTTGCAACCCCCCAAAGTACTACAAAGACTTTCAAATCAAACACAAAGATGGCCACCAACCGCTGCCAGCAGATCTTGATGGCCGCCGACAACGACATCACTGTGGCTGCATACAACATCTTCTGCGAATGCCAAAGCAACGAAAACATCAAAGCCCAAAACTGGGAGGAACTGATCGCCAGCTTGGGCGAAGAAGATAAGAAGAAGTTGGACGACATAGTCCGAAACTTGACACCGGCGTGGATGGACAGTGCACCTTGTGCAAATTTGGTGGCATTGGTCAGGTGGCGCAAGGATGCGAGGGGTTTGCTTGGAATGTTTTGAAACGAGGGAAGAAGCCATGGCGGTAATGGGGCTAAGGATAGCGAGAAGAGCATATGGATTCTTCTCAATGTAAGACCTTCTTCCATCAACATCCTTTACCATTTTGCTTGACCAAAACTCATGGTCAACATTCTAATGTACCTCCTCCTTTTTCTCTGGATTATATCCAAAAGACCAGCTACACTTTAGATGTTGAGCGTGGCGGGACTTAATGACCGATATACCGAGTCTCTCTCTTCATGGCCTATCTCAATACTTGCGGCACCAGTGTAAACGCTTATTTAGTCGGTTCGCAAACGACAAGGAATGGATGTACGGCAGCTGCCAAAAGTCAACACATAGTTCTCAAAGTTCCCCAAAGCCACAGTCGTTAACTTACCGCTAATGAATAACCGACCAGTCTTGACATCATGTCTGACCGTAGTGCTACCACTCAGAACTTTACTATCCTTATCCTCAAGAACCTTTTCGACTCTGTAATCTACACTTCTTACCCCAGACTTCCCTACGTCAACCGTCTTTCTGATGCGCCAAATGGTCACGGGCGAAGACTGGTTGTAAGGATCATCGAAGCCTTTACCGGATTGGATAAGATTGGGGAAACCGGCGGCGTAAATGTCGCCGTTAGCGTCGGGTGAGATATTATCAAGCGGCATGCCGACATGGATGGTGTCGACGAGGCGAAGGGTCTTGTCGGGTTGCAATGCCAGGACGCGAATCTGGCCGTCTATGGCGCTAGGAACGTAGAAGAAACCGTCTCGACCGCGGGCAAGTCCATTGGGGAACTTAAGCTTCGACTTCGGAAGGTATCCGAGCGCTTTCTTGAGATAGACTTTGTACATTGGCTCATCGCCTGGGGTTGACGGAACAGTATCGTCATCCTCGCTGCCGTCATAGGCTGCGTGGCAGTTACCGGCTCCGTCGCAGTAGGCGACGTTACCGCCACCGATAACATAGTCAAGCTTTCTTCGCTATTCGGCATTAGATGGCATTCATTTCGTTAACATCGAGAGTCACATACCAAACCAACCTTGACAGAATGATCATTTGTCACAAGAAATCCACCAGAGCCATCTGCAAGCGCCGAAACACGGTTTGGCGTCCAAATCTCATTTGAGAAGATGGTACGAACATGTCGCATCTGCTCCTGACCTGTTCTCATTTCGAAGATCTCAATCGTCGAATTTGCGCCGCTCTTTGAAGCATCGATGATGTTGTTGAACGCTCCGACTGGTGGTCGTTGGTTGACCATATAGAACCGAATCGTGTTGTCATCCAAGACATGAGCATCGAAGCCTAGAAGATCAAGATCGGAGTTTCCAGTCGCTCCTCTATAGTGTCCGATGGGTTTGATGCCACGAAGATTGTAAAACCCGTCAACACCAGGTTCGTCAATATCCAAGGCAATGAGTTCTGATCCGCCAGGCCGTCGTCCAGTGACGTTGACATCCTTCATGCTAAGCCAAGTCAGTGTCCGCAGCTTTTCAACCACTTTCATTTGTAAGAACATAAATTGAGAATAGCTTACGCTTGATTCCAAGCCAACCTATCTGCCGTGCCCGCGCAAGCCGCATACAATGTCCTCTCGTGGTCATCCAGCCAGATATCCTCACACGCTTCTAGCCTTGGATGCACAAGACGGCTACAACTGAATTCTGGAAATTCATCGATACTCTGTATCACGCGACCAACACCAAAAGTAATCGCAAAAAGATCTTTGAGGTAGAGTTGGTAAAGCGACGCGCCCCACGCTACTACGAACGCGTACCATATGGTCGTCGCTATGCTAGGCATGATGCGTATTACAACAAAGAAAAAATGATGCAGAAGTCGTAAGAGAACGACGGAAGGCTGAGCTTATATCTCATGTTGATACCTGGCGGTACGGCTGAGCAGGGCTTAACGGGGCTGTAAGCGGCATGGCGCAATCTGTCCAGCCCCAGTGAGATCGTGCTGTGATTGGCTCGCGCAGCGCACGTGGGATGTTAGAGGACCTCTCAGGCATGCTTGACTGCCAAGACCAAATATTTCTGCCTCGTTGATAGCAGGGGTTAGTACTTAGAGATGGGGATCGTAGCGTTGGAGATGGACGTTCGGATGGAACCCCGCGAAGGGCGACGGAAAGGCTGACGTCACAGGGTCTTCAGTCTATCTAGGTACCTAGCTTCTCCACCCACAGCTTACTGTGGAACATACAGCTCAGCTCTGCAGCAACGACTCAGCCTCAATCTTCCTAAACGAATCTCCAAAACGCCAATATGACAAAATCCGCCTCTTTCGATGTGATAGGAACATGTTTCGCCTTCGATGTCCCTATATCCACCATCCATTCCCGTCTCGGCCCTAAACTTGTAACCGCGGCTGTGGACCCCAAAACGCTCTTCTTCTCCTGGTTCTATGCTGCTCAACGTGACTTTACCTACGTCTCCATGACCGGTGCCTACGTTCCCATCGCCCAGGTTCTCAAGTCTACGTTCCGACGCGCATGCGCTGTTGTCGATCTACCCGTTGACGCCGTCACCGACGAAGACTTGGAAGAGATCATGAAAGCATTCAAAGCCATGAAGCCGCGCGAAG